AACTCCCCATATCCACCTCATGGCCTGGGAAATTCAAAGACCCCTGTGATGTCTCTGGGGAGAGAAGAAGACCACAGGGTCTGGAATGTGAAGGACAGCAGAGACCTACAGATTCCTGACTCCTGAAATCTGGCAGGATCTTAGATGGAACATACCTTATGCTGCTAAAAACAGACACCACTTGAGTGTCTGCAGCCTGCCAGGCCGTACTAAGACTTTACGTCTAACAGCTGCCTTAATTCTCTCAGCAACCACAGAGGTAGGGAGGGTTATTAGACCCATTTTACAGATGGAAATTTTAATTCTTAGTGCAGCTAAGGGCCAAGATCAGATAGTAAAAGCAGAGCCAGCATTCCAACCCAGAACTTTCTGATGTTTAAAGCCAGGCTCTTTTTTTTTTTTTTTTCAATTTTTTTCTTTTTGGGGGGAGGTAATAAGGTTTATTTATTTTTTGATGGAAGTACTGGGGATTGAACCCAAGACCTTGTGCATGCAAAGCAGGCGCTCTACCACTGAGCTATACCCTCCCCCTAAAGCCAGAATGCCCAACAGAATTGATGGATGGACCTCTGTAGAGGGCTGAATAGTGTCCCACAAAAATTCACATTCACCCGGAACTTCAGAATGTGACCTTATTTGGAAGTAGATCCTTTGCTGATGTAAGTAGTTAAGGATCTGGAGATGAGATCACCCTGGATTTAGGGTGGGCCCTAAATCCAATGACTAGTGTCCTTATAAGACGAGGAGAGGACACACAGAGACACAGGAAAGAAAGGTCATGTGATGATAGACGCAGAGACTGGAGCGATGCCACTACAAGCCCAGGGTCACCAAGAACCACCAGGAGCCACCAGAAGATAGGAAGAGGCAAGGCAGGGCCCCTGCTGTAGGATTTAGAGGGAGCACAGCCCTGCTGATGCCTCGATTTGGACTTCTAGCTTCCAGAACTGTGAAAAAGTAAATCTTGTTGTTTTAAGCCACCTAATTTGTGGTAATTTCTTACTGTGGCCCTGGGACCTAATACAGCCTCACACCCCGTCTTTGCTCAGACATCCCAGGACAGCTCCTCACGGTGGCCCATCTGGTCCGCGGGTCCAGCCCACACATACCTCCCTGTAAAGTGGATTGCTCCCTCCTCTGGGGCCAGGACAGGGCCCATCCCCCAGGCCAGCCTTTCTGACATCAGAGACCACGGGGCCACTTCCTCCACACTGGTTAGGTGAGTCTCCTGTGCCAGGTACGATCCCAGTGTTAGCAACCCAAGGTCCCTTCAGACACACTCTGCCACAACCCTGCCCTGAGACTTCTCAGAGGCACTGACAGTGTCACATTCCTGCCACTCGCTGACGCTGGGACCTTAGGCAGATACCCCATCCCTCCGTGCTCATACAAAACCTGCTTCCTACTGCTGTCGTGAAGTTTAAATGTATGGAAAGGAGCTGGAACAGGGCCTGGCTCATCACACTCAATAACGTGAGTGTTTATTGCTGTTCTCTCCTCCTGGTCAACACACATACATATATATATACACACACGCCACATACACGTACACACACCCCACATACACACACACACACACAACTTGGCTCCAGGTGCTGCATCCCAGCTGTAGATACACCCCTTACAGTAGAGCTGGGCTGGTGAGTGAGTGAAGACTCAGGCCACGAGAGACACCCGGGGCCAAGGGCAGGAGCAGGAAGGGAAGAAGAGCTGGCTCAGGGGCAGGTGGGTCGGGACACCAGCAGGAGGAGGTGGCAAGCAGAAAGGTGGGGGCACCAGGCCAGCAGGCTAGACGCTTCGTCCTCACCAGGTAGTTGCCTCCATGTTTGGACTTGAGCATCTGGGCCACCTCGCGGAGGTTGCTCCGGAAGTTCTCCTCGTTGGCTGTGCTGGGGAAGGAGACGGCGATGATCCTCTCGGTGACGTACACCAGGTCCAGCTCACAGCTGTCCTCCATGGTCCGGCTCACGCTCATGTTTCTGGGGAGACAGCAGGCAGAGGGGTTCCAGACCAGGATCCAGGGCCCCAGGACAAGGACAGGGTATCTGCACCCTCAACACATCAGACATGGCCCCCAAATCTAACCCAGGGGCTTGGCTGCTCCCTGACCCACAGCCACGGCCAGAGACTTCCCCTGGCAAGGCCAGTGTGGCCAGCAAGGCCAGTCTGGGAGTGCCGGAGAGAACAGGGCTGGACAGGAGCTGGCCAGGATCTCAGGCCATCTCAGAACAGAGGAGTGATGACACCAGTCCTAGGTGCTCATCTGTCCTGTTGGTATTGCCTTCAGCCTGTAATCCCAGAGTTCAGAGTCAGAGCCAGAAGCAGCCAGGAACCCAGGAGTCCAGCTCAGCCTCCCAATATATCATGGCCACCTGGTCTGGCAGAAGCTTCTCGAAGGACACAGGGACAGCTCCAGAAGAGAAAGGAGAGCCTGAACTGGGTGCTCTCGCATCCCAGAGCTGAGTCTTCTGTTGCCCTCCCCTTGCTCCGAGCTGTGGAGTGGGCGGGGAGGTCCCTCAGGGGAAGGGGCAGCTCAGGTGACACGCTCACCTGGGTTCCAGGTAAGCCAGACCACAGCACACATTCCAGCCCTCCCCGGAGGCAGGCCGACTCCTGCCCTTTGTTCCCTGGCCTGTCTCCCCACCTCTGGCAGCTCCCACCACCTCCCAGGGCAGCTTCCTGCCACTGACTGCCCTGATTTCTAAGGGCCCAGGAAGCAGAGGGTGTGCTGTGGTGGCAGGTGGCCCCCAGACATCCCAGCACCATCTGAGCTCCTCGGAGAGGTGGGGAGCCCCCTGGGCTGGGCACTGGGTGAGGGGAGGTGGGGGCTCCTTTATACCTCACCCAGCTTCCCTTCCAGGGAGGGTCCAGGGTACCACTGGGGGCCTGACAGGAAGGGGAAATGGGGACATTGGCATTCCATTGTGGGGGCACCTCACACCCTCCCCTTCCTACCCCATCACCAGCCTCCTAGTGTCCTGCTTCCCCCCTCTCTCCAAGGTGAGCAACACTCACAGTTCATTTTGATAACCTTTCACTAGAGTGGGGTAAAGTTGAGACTAGAGGGGCGGCAGGAGGAATACCACAGAGGTGTTTCAGTGTGACACGGTGGCACTGGACAGTGCAGCCATGGGATGCTGAAACCAGGGCAGAATCCAGAAGGGTTAGCTCTGAGCCCAACTGTGTAGACGGGGCTTGGAGAAAGGGGAGCCAAGGGTGATGAACGGCTTCTCTGTGGTGGCAATGGCAGGGAGCAGGGGTCAGTCGGCTGGGAGTCCACTTTGAATTTGACCTCTCAGCCATTCCTCATCCCTAAAGCAAGCTTCTCACTGCAGCCTTTGGGAGTGGGGTTCCTACTAAAGGCAGAACCGCGCCCCCACCTGGACAACCTTAGCATTACATTCTTCACCCACCCACCCCACAATGACTCTCAGCTTACAAGAGAAGGGGATCCTCTAAAGGGGCCCTCCAGTCTCTGTGGACAGCTGGAGCCTGAACTATAACCCACTGGGAGCTTCAGCTACATTCCAGGCCCTCTCTCGCTGGGGCTCCATATCCCTAGGGCCAGATTCTCACTCATCTCTGAAGCCTCGGGGTTGAAGGGGAGGCAGAGAGGGAAGCGCCCCAGCTGGAAAATTAGAGAAGCTGGCGCAGGAAAAAGAGATCATGGATGAGCAAGGCACTGAGTCCCCTGTGCATCTCCTTCCCCCAGCCCAGCCAGATAGAGAACCTTCCTTTTATAAATGACCCTCCAACATCAGAAACCTCTGCCCATGGAGAGGAACAGGGTTTAGCAGGGGCCTCGATGCCAGCCAGGACTGAGTGCAAACCCCAGAGCTGCCTCTTGGTGGTTCTGTGACATTTAACAAGTCACCTCATCTTTTTGAGACTCAGTTTCCTCATCTGCCAAATGGGAATAAAATACTTATCTTGTAGGGCTGTTGCAGGGGCTTGATAGGATCATGCTGGTCAATAAAGAATCCAACACAAAGCCTGGCTTTGAGCTAGAATGCAAAACATGATGCTTCCCAGCGGCATCGACCTGCATCCTCTCCCTGCGGCTTTCACGTCTGCCCATGCTCCCTACCAGTGGCTTTGTGACTTCAGTCTCGGAGACCGAAAGGCATGACTTGTGAAGAACACCCACAGCGACCTCACTGCCTGTACCCTTACCCCTTGACCCGCAGTAGGCATACCTGATGGGCTGGGGATGGGGCTGGACACTTGGCGTGACTCTGGTGGAGCCCTGGGAAAGAGAGAAGAGAAGTAGCATTAGGGAGGAGGCCAGCAGGACAGCAAGACTGCAGCAGAGAGCTGTCCATGGGAGCAGTCAGGACCATGGGCAAACAGATTCTCCTCTCCTACCTCTGCCAGAATTCCAGCCCAGGCACCCTAAAGCCCCAGCAACACAGCAACCCAAAGCCAAAAGCAATCAATGCCAATCCCACGTGAGTGTGCCCGTGTGCTTGCGAGCCTCCCTAGGGGAAGGCTTTCCTTCCCCAGACAAGGAGGAAATCCCAAATGCTGAGAAATGCACCACACCTGCTATCTCCGCTGAGTCCACGCTCAATAAAACTGTCACTAAACTGATGGAAACCCATTTCATCTTGATTCGCTGGACATCGGAATAGCAACCCCAAGTGGAGAATAGAGATCGCAAGCATGAAAGAAGGAAAGATGAGCGTGCTGGCCACCCTCTGCCTAGCTCTGAACATTTCTCCTCCGACCACCAGCAGCCCACACGCCTCTCTCCTTTAAAGCAGCAACACCGGCTCATTCTATCAAAAGTTTTGAGGCAAGAAGAAATCAGGCATGGTTGGCAGTAACCAAGACCAGTGCTAGGCAGCAAATCACACTCCTAAGGACCCACTGCCCAGCATCTGTCACCACCCCCCATTCACTCGCTCCCCTTCCCAGGGTTATCAACTTGTACAAAATTAGGCCAAGGAACCCAAGTTGGTGTCCAGTATATCCCAGGACATTCCAATGGCTCAGTGATGAAAGCACAGGGTCAGAGTCCCACAGCATCCTGCTGGGCAGCCTTACATTCCTTAACGCTCTGAGCCTCTGAAATGTCACGTGTAAGACGGGACAATCCTTATGGGGTTGTTTGAAGATCAAAAAGAACTGTGCCCAGAAGGCACTTAGATGTTGGTACCGTTATTACATCAAGGACAATTAAAAAGGGAGTCAGAGATATAACCAAACATTCACCTCTACAGAAAATCAAAATCCAGCATCACCAGCTGCCACCCATCCTTTCAGCCACCTCACTCGACGCAAATCAGACACCAACTGGTAGATTCCCAGACTCAGGCAGAGCTCTCTGAGCCCACTGGCACCTTCCAAACATCCCTGAGACTCCCCAGAACCAGCCCTTCCTGACCACCAATACGCATTCACGTCTCAGAGGAGGCAGGACCACAATCCCACCAAGGAGAGGAGAAACCAAGGCCACAGTAACTCACCCCCACAGTGATGACTGGCAGGATTCACCTTGACTTCGGGCTGGACCACTGGGGCCGCAAGAAGAGAAGCCCCCTTCAGCCCTCTCCAGGTCCAGCAGCGCCTACGAGGCAGGGGTGGGTGGGCTCCATGGCCCAGCTCCCAGCTGAGCCCAAAGCCAGGGCAGCCCCACTAAGAGGAGGCCCCTCCATCCAGCCTCCCGTAAGAAGGCTGTGGCCAGAGTCCCCTCCGCCTGGGCTGCCGCCCAGCTCTGAACAGCTCAGCCTTGGAGGCAGCAGCAGGAGGAAACAGCCAAGTGGGACTGTCGGGGCGGAAAGTTTCTCTGTCTCCACAGCTCTCCTGGCCCTGAGGACTCGGGTTTGCATGAGTCAGGCGTGGGGGGTTGGAGGTGGGCGGTAAGGAGGGGTTGAGTTGTGTTTGGGTTTCAAGACCCAAACCGGGCTGTTCCAAAACTACCCACCCAGAGGAACGCAGAAACCCCACACTTCATCCGTCTCCGTTTCACTGGCCCCTGATGAGGAGCCGCTGAACCTCCCCAGGCCCTAGGCCCCGCTCCAGGCCCCAGGGCCACCCTGCTATAAATAGCCCCTCGGGTTCCGTCTGCTGCTGATCCATAGCCCTGTTTGGAGGAGGCCACCACAGCTGCTTCTAACAACTGGAAGCCACAACCAGAGCCAAGGCTGGAGGTGTGGCCAGGATCACAGGGCCAGGCCCAGGGAGCTGCAGGGAGACAATGGGATATTGAGCCAGGCTTGGCAAGGGGACGGGGGAGCTGAGGGGAGCCGGGAGCCTCCACGGGCACAGGGGTAAGGAGGATGAGCAGGGCCAGAGAGCCAGCTCCCGTTTCTCCACCCCCCTTCCCAATGTTACAACATTCCACATTCCTCAGCCTCCCCACCCCAAAAAAGCCAGGGAAGATAAATAAAAACTTGGCCCTAACAGAGTCTGGCCATGCCGCCTCCAGAGGTGATAAGACAAAGTCCAAGCCGGCTCTGCTCCGCTGGGCCAGCCGGGGAAGGGAAACGGGAGGAAGCTGCCTTGGACAGTGACCCCAGCGTGGAGGACAGGGACGAACAGCTGGACGGTCATCCCCTGATGAATCACTGGGCCGCCTTCTAACTGACAGGGCTTCCTGTTTTCTGCAAAGTTTTCGGGCATGTGACGCTCGCTGGCAGAAAGCAGACTTGCACAGGTAACCTGTTTGAGCGCTGGTGGACACAGAGTCACAGGGAGAACAGAGAACCACAAAAGGGCTGGGGGGCAGGGAGGGGGATGTGAGCAACATAAAACGCTTCAAGAAACACAGTGACCTCACACACACAGGGCTGGAGACAGCCTTCCGCTGCGTGCCTCATTACACAGGCCTTTTTCAAGAGGGATGCAGTCCCCTCTCCTCCCCATCATTGCATGCATTCCCTCATGTAGTGAACTTCACTGAGTCCACTGGCTGTGCTTGAGGCCCCCGACCTCAGAGAGCTTATATTCTGCAAAGGAAGATACTCATCCACGCAGCCAGTGTGAGAAGCAGCCGCTTGGTCTCTTTGACCAATATGTAAAATGGGTACAACACAATCGCATGTAATTGACCCTTTCCACTTAGAGCCTCTGGGAGAAACTACCGGAGGCTTTACAGAGTACTCCAAAGATTTTATTTTATAAAGAAAACTAGCTCTCTGTCTGCCGGTAATCCCATTCTTTCCCTCTCCAAGACTTTCAAAGCCCTTTACCCACATGGTTTGAACTTCCTCCCTGGCCCTCCCAAGACAGGGACCAATAATAGGACTTTTGATCCAGCTCCCTAGGAAACAAGTCTCTCCTTTGCTTACAGGACACTGTGTAAGGAAATTCCACAGCCTTCCCGAAACGGTGTCTTACTTCTCTTACTATCAGGCAGTTCCTCCTGGTATCTAACCCTCGCCCTTCCTGCTGCAGATTAGGCCAACTCTGTTGGCCTTAGTCCTCACTGCAGGTGGGAGCTGCTGACCACCGCTCAGACACTCCTGAGCAGCTCAAGATCTATGACCCTCGGCTCCGTTTTTTGCTCTCTTCCTCTCCCACCACCACGCAGCAAGAGTGGGAACCCCAGGATCTGGGCAGGGTTGGTTTGGAGCAATGACTGTGTGGGAAGAGTCTTGCCTTCCTTTGAGGTCCACAGACCAAACACTACAGCTCTGGACCAAAAGAAAAGCTGTTTCCTGAGCCCAAGTCCCCAGGGGGCACAGTTGGGAGGAGGGTCTGGAAGCAACGCCAGGAGCCATGTCAAGCAGCCAGAGATCAGTGACCAATCTACGTCAAGGGCCCTTCCCCATCCCTATGTCTCCTCTGGGGGCTGTAACCACACCCTCCCCTCCGCACCAGCCCCTCCAGCCACACCCCTTCCTCTCTCCTTCCTGCCCACCAGCCTGGATTTTTCCAAAACAAAGTGCGACACAGCACACCATCCACAAACGCTGCTACACACCAACCCCGTCAGAGGAAAACAGCCATTCCTGCCCTGTGAGTCCTGGGCGGCAGGCCAGAGACAGGAAAGCAGCCCAACAAACAGGCACATTATTATCACAGCAGCAGGCCCAGGGCAGCAACCATGCTGCCCTGAAAAGTGGTCTTCTCACCCCGGGCAGATGGCAGGAAAGACCTGTGGATGGGCAGGGGACCGACTCGGTGACCCTGGGATCACTCAGCCCGGGACAGGTGTTTGGGAACCTCAGGAGAGGTTTTCTCTCCTCCTCTGCGGTATCCAGACCATTCTGGAATCTGCTCACTCGCTTAGTCTTTCATGAACAACTTTAGATGAACGAGAGCAAAACTCATCATGTCCCTTCTCCCATATCCAGACAAGACGGCATCCTTACCCACTGCTGACACACAGACATACCCACTTTCATCCCAGATCAACAGAACTTTTTCCTTAAAAAACAAAAAACCACACACCCCTAATCCCAACTAAACAGCAATCTCTTTCTCTCCCAGGATCAAGGTCACACATATCCTCGTGCCAAAAAGTTCTTCATGATGTCTGACTTCAGTCTCTTTTGCTGCAGCTTTACCTTGTAAAATCTGTCTGGCCGAGGCTGGGGTTGCGGGGAACAACTGCTCTAGGATTCAGCTTATAAGAGTGTCCAGATCATTGGCTAAATGGCTTGGTTCACACGCCGTCACCCTGTCCCTTGGCCAAAGATCAAGAGTCCTGGAAACACCAGATCCAGGCAGCCGTCCCGGGATGGGATGGAGAAGACATTTATCGAGTCAGTGAACCCCTCCAAGCCTCTGTTTCCTCATCTATAAAATGGGGTCTCAGCATCTGCCACAGTGGGATGTCATGAGGATCAAAAAAAGACCCAGCCCAGCTCCTGGCCCTTAGCCAAAATAACAATAAGAAGAATGGCTCCCATTTTTATTGAGCACATATTATACACCTTGTGTACATTAAGCTAGTTAATCCTTAGTAGTAGGTACACAAAAATTAATTTCTTCCCTGCACCCCAGCCCCAGAAACATCACAAACTCGGACAAGGGTCCCACACCAGCATGGGTACTCCGTGCCCACAGGACCCATGCATACCTTGAACAGAGCCTTCCCCACTAATTTGAGAGGCATTGTCCTGCTCCTCCTGGAGGGGCTCTGTGTAGCCCCTGGGACACCTCCACCTCGCAGGGCTGGCTGTGCAGGGCTGCCCCTGGGCAATGTGGCGGCAGCGGCAGGCTCACCACAGAAGTGTGGCTGCCCGCGGGAGCCCAGTACCTTCCTTTGAGGCCCTCCCTGCCGTGGGTCAGGCAGCTGTCAGATGATAGGGCCTCATGCCATCAACAGCTCCCCCCGTGCCAACCGCCAAAACCACTCCCTGTTCCTCTGCAGATCAGGGCAGGCGAGGATGGAGAGGCCAGCAGAGGGGCAAACTGTCAGAGAAGGGCGGGGAAGAAAGAGAAAGGCCCAACTTGGCCGGGCCTCTGCCCCTGGGGTTGTGAAAACGAGCCCAGACACGAGCACAGCTGGAAGCGGGGTCCCGGAAGAGCTCCTCTTGCCTTCCTTGAGGTCCTTCCACGTAAGGAATTTGCCCATCACCCTCCACCAAAACCGCAGGGCAGGAGGAGTCCTGAGAGATCAACCATCTTCCAGCTTCCTCCTGAACCAGCAGCATTTAGGACATTTTCAAAGCCTCCTCTCTCCAGAGAAGCAGAGCCTGCGATTCCCTCTAAGATCCCGGGAGTCCCTCTTCATCTCCGCCCTTAGTTCCTCCTGCTGCGGCGTTGCCCCTTCCCCTGGTCCTTACCTTGGTGACTGCTCACCACCCAGCCAGGCCTCGCACAGCACAGCAGGCCCCCTCTCTCCTTCCTCCCACCCTGCAGCACTGAGTCCGCCTAAGTGATGGCAAATGAGCTCCGGATCCAGCTGAGCTGGAGGCTGAAGCTAAGACTGGGATCTAGTACCCAAGTAATGGGGCCTGCTCACCCTCCCAGCCCCTCTCCTGGCTCAGTAATTGAGCTGAGCAACCCCTGCCTGCCCTTCTGGAAAGCGGGCCTTAAGGGGAGGCCCCACCAAACAAAAGTGTGGGACATGGTCCACCCCCCACCTCAGGCACCAGGGGCCCGGCCGCATCTTTGTCCTCCTCCTGCCTATACTGACCTCTTCCTCAAGGCTTTTCCGTGTGCTTCCACCCCGGAAGGCTCCTTCTCCCTGGAGACAAAGAAAAGGCAGTCAGAGAGGGGGATCAAGGAAAGTCACCAAAAGTTACCAGGTCTTTATCCAGTTGGGTGTGGCAGTGGTGGGGTAGGGGCTTGGCAGAAGGGCCTGGCAAGGGGCTCGGCTGTTTGCGTAGAATCTTTTTGTCCACTAAAGGCTCCTCAGAGCTAATCACACCCTCCATTTGTGTCTCCTGACCTCTCCTCGGGGACATTATTACTATTCCCATTTTGCAGATGATGAAACTGAGGCACAGACAGGTTCATGACTTGCCTACAGTCACACAAATAGAACCTTGGAGTAGTTAGGCTGTAAACCCAAGTCCTCAGTCTCCAAGCCCATTATTCCATGCTGGCCATGGCCAAGAGATGCCTCTCAGCTGTCAGCCTCAGTTTTCCCTCTGCCGGACTCACTCACTTCCTTCCCTGCCTCCTCCACGCAGCCTTGAGGAAAGTGTCTCTCTGCTAAGTCAGGGAGATGGGTTTGGAAAGATCTGCCTGGCTTTCTCACATTCTACATATTTAATAAAGAAGTCCACATTTAACCACTGGCCTCTCCCTCTCCCCCAGCCTAGTTCCTCTGCAGTCCATTTCCAAACACACAAGGGGATGGTCAGATGTCCGGCTCCCAACGTCATTCATGTCCCCACCCTTCCCTCAAGTTCCCCAAATCTACTCCAGAAGAGTGTCCCCAAACACATCTGTTCACTTTCCTCCCAATCCTCCTTCTGCTTTCCGGCCACCCCGCCCCCCCCCCCCCCACCATCACTCACCGTGTCCACTACATTCTTTGGAGCGCTCTCAGTGTTGACGGGCTGTGGGCAGAAGGAGAAACAGCATGAGGCCTCAGGGCAAACCTCCCCAGGTTGGCTCTCTCCCCAGGGCCAGTGGCTGTGATGGGCAGAAAGCGTCCTGAGGCACGGCGATGGCGCCAGCCAAGACTCAGACAGATGCGCTGACCCCAAGCTTGGGGGGCAGAGTTTGGAAAATGACAAACTGTCCTATTAGTACTCGAACCATCCAGCTGGACACACCTCACCAAGGCCAATAACTCAGACAGCCAAAAAGGAGCAAGGAGCAAGTAAGTTACTCTTGTTCCCACACACCAGGTAAGCGCACCTACATTGACCGTTTCATTTATTCACAAGAACTCAGTGAGGTAGCTACATTACTAGCTTTGAGCCCCACTTTACAAATAAGGAGAAATTAGATGAGTGGCCCAAAGTCACCGACTACAAAGAAGGACAACGGGTTAGAACCCCATCTTGGGTCTCTACACTTCGTGCTCTGTATCAAACTGCAGCAGCCCTGGGTGAGGGGCCTGCCAGCGTCCTCTCTTCAGTGGCCTTTCAAGGGCCACCCCCACCAGTGGCCCAGCCCCCTCACAGACCTGCTTTCATGCCCAAAAGCTCTGCTCCATCCAGACCCCTTGCTATTCCCACATCCAAGCCTTTGTTTGTAGAACTGCTTCCTCTCTTTTCCTCCTCCATGAAGCCCTCCCTGAACACCCCCGCAAGAGGGGGCTCTCTCTCACACCTTGGACCTCCAGGATCTGTGCCACTTATTTGGTCTTCAGGGTATGAATAATCTCATCATGGGAAGATGTCTAATTCTCCAACTATTGTTTTACTTACGACTCTTATGCACCCTGCCTCTGAAACAGAGTCAAAGCAGCATTTTTACCAACTCAGTTGCCATGTCCCTCATGCTGGGGACTGCGGTTTATGTGGAGCGGGCCATCAATAAACGCCTGTGGACTGGGCTGTCCCTCACCCCGGTGCCATCCTTCCCTTGCTCAGACCAACAGAAGTGCTTCCTACTAAAGGCATCTTGAAACGTGAGCTCCTCAGACTCCCGATCACCAGAGAGAAACTCCCCGTGCCAGGGCCAGCTCCTGGCCACAGTCTCCAGGCCTCCGTTCCCAGCTCAGTTAGAAGGGCCCTTGGGTCCTACAAGGAGGCGTGAGCACAGCTGTCAAGGTCATGGAAACAAGCCTTTGCCGAGATGAGTGTAGACCAGGTTAAGACAGTGCGTTTCAAAATGAGGAGCATCCGCCCAATCCAATCCCTGGGACCTAAGGGTGAGCTGCTCATGTCTGAAGACAGGGGGATGGACAGAATGACCTCAAAGGCCCTGGCATCTGGAAGGAGAAGTGGGCCAAGATGGGCATGGAGGAAGGAAGTGGGCTGAGCCAAAGGCAGTCATGCTCTGTATGAAAGGGGCCCAGACTTCACCCCTCCTGCTGGGAAGACGGGAGGCTGAGGCCAAAACTTCTCTCCAGGTGGATGAAACCTCCTGTGTAGTTCAGGGTCAAGGCAGCTTGGGACGGTTGAGGGAGGACGGGGTCCAGAACAGAGTAGGAGGTGGGGAGGCACATCAGCCAGCCTCCCTCAGCCCCCCTAGGCTGGCCCACCTGGAGTCTGAGGATGGCTCTGGAGGGGGAGTAAAGATGCCACATTCTGCCCCTTCCCAGCCCCCATCCTAATCCTCACCCAGCCGCCCCCAGATCCCACAATCCTGAGCCGCAGGCCACTGGGCAGGGGGAAAATGAGCCTCCCGGAAACCCCTGGGGATCCCTGCCCCAGACTGAGCCCTAGGAGCTACCTGACAACTGGGACCAGGGTCTCCCCCAGCCTCCAACCACCACCTAGCCGCACCCAGGGGAGTGCTCTGAAACAGTGCCAGCCCACCCCAGCCCTCTGACCACACCCTGCCGCCTGTCTCTTCTGGTCCAGGGTTCTAGGATGCTCAGGTGGAGACCCCTCGGCGAGGCAGGGCAGCCCAGTTGCCTCCTCTTGGAGCTGCTCTGGCCTCCTGTGGGGAGGAGAAGGCCTGCAGGAACCTTCTGTGCACAGAGTCTACACAGCACAACTGAGATCTGAACCCAGATCTCCCAGCTCCAAAACCCTCCCTCTTCACAGTCACCAGCCTCCCTAGATAGGGAGGGTCAGAAAGACAGAAATTAGGTGGGATGGAGAAACTGGAGACAGAGTACCTGTCCCAGGCCCATTACAAGCCCTTAAGAGCTCCTCGCCCTGCTCTGGGGAGTCTCCCAAGAGACGCCAACTCTAGGCAGAGCAGAGTGAGAGCCGGGGGTCTCAAATTTCCAATCGCCTAGAGGACTGTTGACAGACACACATATAGCTGGGCCCTCCCTACCGGGTGGGATCCAGCAGAGGATGGAGGGACCTGAAAATGTGCATTTCTAACAGGTTTCCGGGTCCAGGGATGACATTTTGAAAACCACTAGCCTAAGCCAACAGCATTGGCTACAGATGGCCAGGCCTTGTCCTGACTCCCTCTGCTACCAATTCTGTGACCTTAGGTAGGTCACTTTGTCCTTGCTGCTCTTTGGCAAGACTGCAAGGCCTTATTTTGTGAGAAGCAAGTGAGATGAAGCACAGAAAGCACTTAGAAGAGGGCCTGACACTTAGGACGCTCTCAGTAAATGGGAGCTGTTATTTATCATCTCCACCCGCACACGCCCAGGGCCAGGCCCTCTCCCAGACACCCCACCCCACCCTGCCCCACCTTGACCCTCCTGCCCCGCCCCTCCTGGGTCTGGCACAGTGCAGACCAAGGAGTCAATATTAGAAACCACAGGCCTCAGCAGTGCAAAAGAAACTTCTCTTCCTGCCAGCAATCATCTGAGCACCAGCCCGTCAGCCCCCATCCCATCCCCGTGCCAGCTGGAGGCCGGCCATCAGATGCTTGCCTTCAATGTACTGGTGGTGAGGATTCTGAAGAACTAAAAATTTCCAAAAACCCCTTCGGACTTAAACACCCAGTGTTTTCCTGCAGTGTTTGCAAACACCGCCCAGCCTGCAAGCTGCACTCCCCGCCCCTCCCCTCCACCCCAGTCCTCCTGGGATTGAAGTCCTGCTTCTCTGTTTCCCAGGCACTGCCAACTCTGGGGCTACTGGGAAAGAGAATTGGTAACAGGAGGGCCGGGTTTGGGGGGGTCTCCCCTGAGGTCACCCCGCCCCAGGCCCTGCAGGGAGGTTTGGGTATGCTCCAGGGAAGCTCCCAGACCATCAGGGCTGTGGTCTCCTGAGGCCACAGCCCCAGAGCTCAATGGCTGGCAGAGACCCACTAGGCCTCAGCTGTCACCCTACCTTCAGCACACAACACACAAACACACACACACACACACACACCCCATCCTTGCACACCACTCCTCAGAACATCAGCTCTGAGGGAAAACTCAGACACCAGCTGCTCCCTCCCCATTTCACAGATGGGAAAACTGAGGTGCAGAGAGGTGTAGGTATAACCCGCCCAGCCTCGCACAGTGAGGTTCATGGCAGGCTCAGGCTGGCACCCAGTAAAGCCCACCAATGAACTCACTCACTGACCCCCAGCCTGTCCCCAGCCAGCCTGCAGGCAGGGTTAGTTGGGTAGCTCCTGGCAGTCTCTGTTCTTCCTCCACACACAGGCTCAGCTGCAGAAAGACGAAGAAGATGGAGCCCAAACAAAGATGGCACCCCACCCCCGCCAGGCCCCACCCACTGCCCAATCCCAGGACAAACTCTGGATCTTAAGGACCTCGGACTTTCCAGAGCTGAGGTCAGCTGACTCATTGCGCCGCGAGGGTCTTCCAGAATGCCCCAGCCTCTAGGCAGGACAACTCAAATCCAGCTCAAGGTTTGGACCTGGTGCCACTTGACAGCAAGGCTTTGCTCTCCATGGATCTTCCTGCTCTAGAGTCTCAAATCGGGGAGTCCACAGCAAGGCAGGGACAAGACTCAGGCTTTCAGGGCAAAAAATTTAAGGAGGCATTCAGCGTCAGGGTGCGCAACCCTGAGAGTGATACCCCCTCCAATTTTGCACCCTAGGGTCCCCATTTGCCTTACCTCTTCCTTGCCCTGGTCTGCAGGTGCCTTTTCATAATGTTACTGCAATCATAATAATTACTCAACAGGTACTAATGATGCCATGGGCTTAATATGGGCCTCTTCGCTTTCATGATCATCAGTCCTCATAATGTTCACAGGGTTACCCCATTTTACAGGTGAGGAAACTGAGGGGCCAAGAAATTAAATAACATGGCCAAGATTACACAGCTGGCAGGTAGGAGAGCTGGTTTTGCTCCTTACATCCCCCTTATGCTGTCTCCTCTCCTGGCCATGACCTTCAATTCCACTTACTCTTAATCAACTGCCCTCCTATTGGGAACAAGCTTTCTGCAGCTTAAAGACTAATTGTCTCAGGTCCTCAGGAGGAAGAGACTTCTTCAATACACTTCCAGAGGAAGAGGAGGAAACAGGCTGCAGTAGGAGAGACTGGAGTCGGACACCAGAGAGAGCTTCCTGAATGTGAGGGGTTGTGAACCACAGGGTGGATAAGGGAAGCTGCACATCCTTTCCTCGATTTTTTTTTTCCAAAAAAAGATACGCCTGCCCTCTCCATGCATACCCACCCCCAATGGTGTGGGCCCGAGGAGGGGCTGTCCTATGGAGGTTGGGGTGGCTGGGATGAGAGCTGGAGGTTCACACGGTGGGACACGTTGGTAGCCTGCAGGGAGGGTGGGCTGGGGGAAAAAAAATCTATCTGTGGGCTGCTGTTTTGGAGGAAGGAAAAGGCAGAGGGCCATAGCGGGTGGGGGGAGGTGCCCAAGCCCTGGACTGGGGGGAGGGGGGCCAGCGCAGAATGCGGACTCAGCCTCCGGAGGAACATTCCGTCCAGAAATTCCTCACACCCTCCCCACTTCCACCTCTCCAGCTCTCCCTACTCTTGCCCCCTGGGAGGCCTGGAATCCAGGCAGTTTTCAGGCCAAAAAAGACCCCATGACATCACAGCAACTGCCATGAGGGAC